GCCTTCAGCGTGACCTGTCCTCTCGGCTTTCAGATGCCCCCGAAAAAGGGAGGCGATGGGGTTAAAGCGCACCCGATCATCGGAAGGTTTGGGACGTCCCTGAAGATCGGGATCGTCGGGCTGCCGAACGTTGGGTAGGTGCAGGGGAGCAGGCCGGCGGCCGGGGCTGCCCCCTCTCCCCCAGTTCACTTCTGCTTCGGATACAGTGACCTGGCCGTGTCTGGGCGGAGACGTAGGTGGGCATACGGGCTGGGGGGTACCATCTAACCGTGTTTTCTCAGCGATAGACTTAACAGCTTGAGCGACTTACACGTGGAGTGTTGTAAAATATCCGGGCAGCATGAGGCTGGTATGTCCAAGTCTAGGCAAGATTAACAGTGAAGAATTAAAGTCTAAGCAGTTGCTGAGTTTTATAAAACACTACTTGCAATTCTGTACTTCCACCGTTGCGCATGTCTAACGGTGGCAAATACGTATGCACACGGGTGTACAAATCCCTTCTATGTTTGACTTTTTTTGGAGAGGATGATGTGCACAGGGAGGGGTTAATAATACTGTCAGAAGCAGTAAAGAGGACTTACATTTTTGAAACTTATTCAGAGTTTATAATGAAAAAAATGGAGCAAGTTACAGTTTGGGGAGATAAATAGTTCTGTGATGCTTCTCACCAGTAGTTCTTGTGGCTCCTCAAAGGAGCTATATATTTTTATGGAGGATGATGAATTACCTGGAGAACATCTGTGTGAAACTACCAGTATTAGTTTGTGTTTCATATTTACTAAAAGAAGTTCTCAGCATTCTCAAACTTTAAAGAGTTAGAGGAAAAGTCTTTGAGTGTGTCTCAGAGCAATAAGTACTACTTCCTTGCCTTTTCATTCTAACTTATTTTTTAAGGGCATAGCTGAAAGGAAATAATTAGCGGTAACTTTGTATAACATGGCAATAAGTAACATTTGCAGTTATGTTGTGATGTAACTTTCAGAGAAAACTGTGACTGACTTTTGCTCTCGTGCTGGCTGTGTGCAGGGCAGCTTTCAGATTTTATTTTTTCAGTGGATGAGAAATTATGTGAAACTGCGGTAACTTTGTATAACATGGCAATGGCGAAAAGTAACATTTGCAGTTATGTTGTGATGTAACTTTCAGAGAAAACTGTGACTGACTTTTGCTCTCGTGCTGGCTGTGTGCAGGGCAGCTTTCAGATTTTATTTTTTCAGTGGATGAGAAATTATGTGAAACTAAAAAAAAACCACCAAAAACCCAACCAAACAAAAAATCCTAAAGCCCAACCAACAAAAAAACCCAGAAAACTTATGGTAGAAAATTCAGGAGTTGATTTAGAACTTTGTTTTAGCAGTAAGTCATGAACTTCTGTCTCTTGGATTAAGTGAAAATGTTCTTTTTTTCCCTGATACCACTTGTATATTTTCCCCAGTGATATTGAATGAGGATGAAGAATATTTGGTAAAGTAGACCTGTGCCTTCATATGCACAGATCACTTGTAATGGATTAACTGTGATGTGGTTTGCTTTCTGTGCCCCTTTTTTCTCTTTTGATTGTTGACTTCTATTGCTTAGATACTGAAATGGTGTTAATGTGCAAATAAATCAGAGGAAACAATGCAGAACAGAGCTCGTTCCTCACTATGTGCTTGAGGGAAATGAGTAGTGGCCAATAGAGCTGTGCTCTGCTTTTGACTTAAAATTTCTTTCCTGTACGTGCACACGTCAGCTAGCAATTTTCAAGGGCAGGAAAAGAGGTAAACATCATTGGATTTTAGTGGGACACTCTATAAGCATATTTGAAGGTGTCGTGTACTAGAATCAGAGCAACAGTCACTGTTGTTGAAGTAAAGGGAAAGTTCACTATTGCTTTTGGGTTGGAATAAGATGTGTTTCTGTCTAGCCCTTTTAAAATGCTTCTTATTGGAACTTTTTACAGAATGTGCATGTTTTGCTTGTAGGAAATCCACGTTTTTCAATGTGTTAACCAAGAGTCAAGCAGCAGCAGAGAATTTTCCTTTCTGTACTATTGATCCAAATGAGAGTCGAGTACCTGTGCCGGATGACAGATTTGACTTCCTGTGTCTGTACCACAAACCTCCGAGGTAACTCAAGTTCTTAACACTTTTCTTCAGCTAATCAGCTGAAATAGCATTACTGAACCCAAAGTTTTCATAGAAGTTCAATGCAACTGTAATGTCTTTAGGTTTTTATTGACATCTTGTTTAGAATGTGAAATTATGTGTGTACCTGGATTATACCTTCAACCCCCCCAGTAGGACCTTTGTGATATGAGAAATCTAGGAGCTGCCAGTCGTTGCTCAGCACCGTTTGGTGCTTCGTGTTCCTGTCTGTGGAGGTGGTGGCTCCCAGGTGACTTGGTGCAGCTTCTGAAGAGATCTGGAAAATGAACAGTAGTGGACATACCTAACGTGTCACGAGGCTGCTCGTTTGTAAAATTTCCATCCTGTATTTTGTGTTGTTCTGAATATTGTATATGCTGTAGGTAGCCAAACAGGTATCTGTCAACATTCCTGTGTCCTCAGGCTTTTGACAGTGAGCTTTATGGGCAGCCTTTTTTCCCCTGACTCTTTCTCTGCTTTTTATAGGCTCCAGTACTTGTTACCTGGTGTACGCAGAAATATGACTACAATGTGTCTCTTCTAATTGTTTCCTTATTCTAGGAGTGTATTAATTTTGCCGCATGAGTGTTTTTTGCTCTTGACAGTTTCTGTAATCTGCTCTGTATGTTCAGTGTGGGAACTGGGTTCTTGCTTGAACTGCAAAACTTCAGCTGCTTTCAGAAAACAGAAGCTTAGGCACGTTTGACTTGCTAAATTTCAGTTTGCAATTACTTGCAGGGGTGTCTTGAATAAAGTGAGCTTACATAAATCATAGGGCACATTAGCATGCACACCTGTGCTTTTGTTCAACACTTGGGCCTCTGTTTTAGAGCCAAGTCGCACCTACAATTAAAAAAAGATTAATTAGTCACTGATTAAAAATCCATTTGTTAACTTAATTTTCAGGTCCAAACAAGTTGCTTCTATTACCTGTGCACTTTTTAAATGCTGAAAAAGTGCGTTAATACAGAGCTGTTTGTTTAGCTGGATTGTTGTAACATGTTACCTTGTTTTTCCTTCTCAAGTGAGTATTAAGCCTACTTGTTACCGTATGGATCATGAAACAAAGCTCTGCTGAATTTGAGGCAAAACTTTGGCTGTTGATTGTGCAGAGATAATGGTGTGGCTTTTAAGTTTTGTTGACAGATTTTTTGTAAATTGTAGTGTTACTGCTGCTTTGGCCACATCAGTAATCTTGTTTTCTTCTCACTTAGCTGGCTGGCTACTTCTAAATTAATAGTTGACGTGGCAAAGAGATTACTACCTCTCTTAGCATGCTCCTTAGAAGGAGAGCTAAGATTGCAAGTACCTATATGCGTGTTCTCCATCTCGCAAACGTGCTCTCCCTGGAGCCAAGTTATCCTTAAAAATGAAAATAATGTATTTATTGAATCTGTATTCAGTCAATGTACTGAATTGGATAATAAGATGGCTATAAATAGTAAATCATCTCTCTTTTGAATGGTCTTTTGACTTTTTTTTTAAGAGAGTATTTGTTACTTAAAATCAGTGGATGTGTGGATTTGTTGGTAGTTGTAGCTCCTGAGTTTACTTAGGCTGCTTATATGGTTTTAATATTTCACCCTAAGAGTAATAACGTAGTGATAATTCAGTATCACAGTAGATTATGGTAACCCTTCTTGAGCTGTTTGTGCTTGTCTGTCTGAGACTAACTCAGGAAAAGAAGGTTGTGGTCATAGGGCCTGTAGTGACAGGACAAGGGGTAACGGGTTTAAATTGAAAGTGGAGAGGTTTAGATTAGATATCAAGAAGAAGTTCTTCATGGAGAGGGTGGTGAAGCCCTGGAACAGGTTGCCCAGAGAAGCTGTGGATGCCCCATCCCTGGAAGTGTTCAAGGCCAGGCTGGATGAGGCTCTGAGCAACCTTGTCTAGCGGAAGGTGTCCCTGCCCATGGCAGGGGGGTTGGAACTAGATGGTCTTTAAGGTCCCTTCCAACCCTAACCTTTCTGTGATTCTATGATGACACACCACCAAATTGTCATTTAAATTCCTAAATGTCTCTTGTATAGTCTTGATTTTGTTCTTCATCTTTATGTAATACGCTCTGTGTTAATTTTCTGCTTGTTTGAATTAGTAGACATAATCAGTCTGTGCACGCATAATGTTTTATCAACATTGAGTTCTCTTTAAATGAGACTCTTTTCCAGTCTCAAGGTTTTGTCTTGTAAAATCTAAAGCATTCAGGTTTTTATTCCCCATACATACACTTAGTCATGACATATCAGCTGTTGTTGGGAGAGGGGGAGGAAAGGTGACTTGGCCTTTAACTAAAATAGTGTACGGGAGGCTAATGTGACTTGCCTTCATGCCTGGGGCTGGACTGGGCAGGGCTGGCAGTTGCTCTCCGTCACAGCGAGCTGAGGTTGCTGCTACTACACGAGACACTCAGTTGCCGAGAATATTGCTAGTGTGAGTTTGCAGCTGTTCTGCTACGTGGGTTGAAGAGGTAGGCTCTCCGGGTACTGCCTGTTGCTTGAAGATCCATTCCTGTCTCCTCAGGAAGAAAGCATCAGCTTGGATGGAACTGGGGTGCAGTTACTTGCTAGCCCATGCTGAAAGCTGACTGGTATTGCTTAATTGGGAATGTAAATGTTTGTAAATGGAATCACCTAGGCAACAATTTAGAGACTCTCGCGTAAAGGTAAATCTGTACTTAATGGGTTAAGGTAGGCTGTCAGAATGTATAACCTGTGCTGCTTCTTTCTGCACCAGTGGGTGCTGTATATGACTTTACAATGAGTAATTTCAGTGGTGTAGACTGTACGCAGAAGGTGGGCTCTGAGAACTTCCAGTAAAAACAGCTTTGTTGCTGCCAGATGAGTTGGATAAGCAAATGTCCTTGAGCTCTGATGTTACCCATTGCTCGCTTTCTGGTGTGAGTGAAATTGTGGATATTAAAAACAGAAGAGTCCTTAATACATAATTCTCAATGCTTGTTATTGTAAGGTCTTAGCTTACATTCTGTTCTAACTTAAATCATGTATTTCAACTACTTACTTGTTTGTTTTAAATTTTATGTGATGTTCAGTAAAAACTCTTATTTGTTACATTGTTCCAACATGTAGCTTTTTCAGAAGGGAATGACTCTTGGCTGTTTATTTTGTTGTCCTCCTACCCCCAGTATGGGTACTTGGTTTGACAGAATAATGGTTGAATTGGTTCCAGTTTAGTAACTTTCTAGTAGTAGACTACTTTCTTTGGGCTGATTCTGAATGAAAGCAGAAAGGTCTATCTTTTCCCCCCACCTAATCTATGAATCTTAACCAGATAGCAGAGTTTGAGATCTGCTAATTCTGAAATGGAACAGAGATGTTCTTTGTCTTGGCAGATAGCTCCTGCCTTGAAAATTGGAACTTGGAAGACAGAAACAGTTGATCTGTTAACTATGGTTAATGTTTAAGTGTGTTTAAAAATGATGGGCTGCTTAAACAAGAAAAGAACTCTGTATGGAGCTCACCTAAATAAATTTTGGTGACTTCAAAGCTTCATTAAAGTTAGTCTTGCACGTTTTTTGTTCTAAATTTCATTAAGATGCTGCTTAATTACCTCATGTCATTTGAACAAGTGATTTGTGTCATAACTCACAAATATCTTGAGAGCCTCTGAGTATATACACACGCAGTTTACAACTGTGAATAGTTAAAACTGCAGGACTGCATTGGCTGATAGTAATCAACCTGTGTGAAAACATTAATAAGGTAAGTGATTTTGGAGTCTGTGGTTCTGCTTCCTCCTCTGGTTAAAATCAAATGTGATTATAAGCAGAAGTGAGTAAAACTTAAGTAGTTTGGTTCATTCTTTCTCCCGTTACCAGTATTCATTTAATTATTTTTTTGCGCCTGTGAGCACGTGCGTTGTCCCGCACGCGTGTGTTCTCAAAACACGATGTTTATTGCAATGCTAACTTTTCTACTTACCTTAGACTGGTTTTTAACCTGTCTTGGATGTCCTTTTCAAACTTAAATTTTAAAGCAGTCCTGGTTATCTCAGGAGGGTCACACGTGAAGTGCAGCTACCCCTGTCAGCGCTAGCGTGGCACAGTGTACTTCAGGATCTCTGGCCTTTTGGTCAGTGAGTTGCTTTGGTTTGTTCTCTTGCGTGTAGGTTGTTAAACTCCATGCATTCAGGCCTTTGGTGCCCAGGCGATGGTTACTGAGCTAAGTGGGAGCAGTAAGTTCCATTGTTGTCTAGGTCATGGAAGTCCTGTGTAGTATTAAATGGAAGTTTTCTCTAAGTTACTGTAGGGTAGCATACTCGGACACTTGATAAAGTTGTGTAGTCGATTGGTGAAAGGACTTGTTAGAAAGCACATCAGCAGTGGGACTTTTTGAATGACATCATGTGGGGCGTACTCCAGGTTTAAAAAGAGTATTTATGTACACGGAAACCATCTGTAATTCCAGAGTGAAAGCAGAGTAACTTAGCTGGATGTGATTGTGCCATATCAGCGTTTGTAAGAGAAGCCTATTTTTCACAGAAAATAGTGGAAACTTGGCAAGTGTGGCCTGTTGTTGATGGGCTTCTTCCCTTGCTGTGCGCCTTCTCTTCAGGTAGTTCTGAGTCTGTGTAAATCAACTCGCCTGTGATGCTTGTAGCGATGCAGATACGTAATTTGTCAGGAGGGGATGAGAGACCTTAAGTAGTGGTGACTTGAGCTGTCTTTTCTGCCTGGTGGGAGAAGGCAAAATTTAATTAGTTGTATTTTGTTGGTGTAATGACGTACTGAATAGTTAGAGAATACAGGCCTTTGGTATACACAGGACACTGAGTATGTGTCTTAATCCTCATTGAATCTTTCAGCTTTTTGTTGTTAATGTAAGTTATCAATTAGCAGATTTTTCACTTCTGGCTGTTGTGCTGTTAGGTTCAAGACTTGTTTGACAGCACCATGGATAAAATGCTATTTGTGAAATTGTTCTTGCATAGAAATGACCAGTGTTCATTTTCAGAAGCAGTTTGCTTTAATTACCCTGTGAGTTATTTTGCTTACATTGGTCAAAGCTTCTTGCAAGATTGGCAGCAGAAGCTGCAGTAGGGAGTACAGTCCCCTGGAAGAGGGAAGGACTGTGAACTCTTCTTTCCTCTTCGGAAATGAGCTGAAAATAGTGGTGAGGACAGACTGAGGGATGAAGGGACTTCTAAGAAGTTGTCACAATATATGTGTTCTCCTTTGTCTCTACTTTCACTTGAGGTCATTTGTGAACTCGTAATGGATGACTCCTACTTAAGTTATATTAATTCCTGGTAAGGAAGAAGAGTTGCCCTTTTCTAACAGATTTCAAATAACAACTTTAAAGGCAGAAGAGCCTGTGCTGGAACCAGGAGATGGGTTGCACATTTGGCTTTATCAAAGAGAAAAGGGGAGCTGGGCATTTTGCCCTAATTCTGAGGAATCTGGCCTTTTTGGTATGTGGGACCTAGGACCAGGTGGCGTTTGAGTTAAGAGAAATTTCTTGAACTCTTCAAGAAATAAATAGGAAAGCGAGTGTTAGGAGAATTATCAACCAGACTTACTGGAAAATTGCTGCATTGTGAACTGAATTGAAGCTGTCGTGACTTTCCAGGGTTTCCTGGTGGATGTGAGATTTCAGTAAACGGTAGTAAACGCTGCAGAGAAATTATTGGGCTGTTTTCATTGGAGAGGAGGGATTGTGGAAACCTAGAAGAACAAAAATGAAGGGAGAGAAACGGCTTTTTGGTTACAATGTTTCAGTCTCAAAGCTTCAGCTGTATGCTGCCTGCGAGGTTTCTCTACTGAAGTTCTCGTGGAAACTCAAAATAAATGTATGCCTCGTCCCCTCAAATTTAAAAAAAAGAACAACCCAAAACCCACAAAAAAAATCCCCATGCACAACAAACTGCAGATACTGTATGTGTGTGCATTTTAAAATAGAAAAGGTAATTGGCTGTACTGTACTGTTTAAGTACTACTGTGCTGAACAAACAGGCCGGGCAAAGAAACCCCTCTTGCTAAGTAACTGTTTTGGACAGAAGTTTGAAACAAAGGTGGTGAGAGATAGCCCTTCTCCCCTGCAAAACCATAACCCTATGGATGCCCAAGTCTCTTATTCCTGAGTCAGTATCCTAACGGCTGGACTGTGAAACTGTTCGTTCTTTGGCCCAGTGCGTCCGGTGCTCCTCGTTGCACAGCACCTTGTGCGGTGAAGGTAGTATGCCAGCACAAACCCACTGTTGCTGTATTTATGGGTGAGGTAAGAAATCCTTGCTCAAGGGTTGTGCCTGTGCTTAAAATATAGAGATACTTCTGGGTTTGGTGATCTGTTTCACATTCTGAATTCCTGTGAAATGTTTTATGGTAGATTGGTGTTGCACTGATGGGTACAAATGATCAGTTAATGCCACCTGTTCCTGATGATCATTTGAGGCTCAGTGACACTATGCTAATGCTGATTAACGAATCTTAAGAAGTGGAAATAAATCTGTTTAGAGGTGGGGCTAAGGAACGATCCCGTTAAGTCTCCTACATTTAAAAGAACTAAACCACACTTGAGAGAGATGGTACTTTCCCCCATTCTTTGCAGTGTTTTCTGCTTGTTTAGTTTCATAATCTTTACTCTTTGTCCACCAGAGCCTAGGCAAGTGTGACTAGTTTGTGCCTTTTTCTGCTTTTCTCTGCATTCATTTTCTGTGATGAACTAGAGATTTGGGCTTAGCAAGGGAGCTGCCAAGAATGGAGATGGCTGTATTTTGCTTGGAGTTTTAGCATTGTGGTACCTCAGGTGAAGGTGAGAAAACGTCCTGGAAACCCGGATACTTGTCTTCAAAGGTCTCTTGCTGCATTAGTCAATTGTGAAATAAATATGCTGAGGTTCTCTCGCCATTGTCTAGCAAATGAGGTTGATTATGGAGGCAGAGTGGCCATCTGCATATGAAGGTATCTGTCTTGCTCTAATGGGACATCTTTGTAGTGAAAGTGTGAATTCTGATGAGTGGCCAGGAAGTTAATCCTACCAGAATGATGAGAGGGGAGCTGAGAACATTTCTCACACCGCTTTTGTTTTTCTTGAGACACAGTTTAAAATGACAATAGAGAATTGCTTTAAAGAGAGCTTTTTTCTACCTTGCTGTTGACTTAGTTATCTGTCGAAAAGCAAAGAATTATAATTCTGACTGAGAAGTTGCTGCTCTTTTTTCTGAGGTATGTGTTAGCTCTGTGGTTCTGTCAGGCAAAAGGAGTTATTGGGGTAATGCATTAATGGAATTACTGGTTTCTGCCTTCAAAATGTGCATTACTCTTGGTAGTGTGTTAAACTTAAGGATTTGATGTTTCCATTTGAGTCTGTGTACTGGTAGCTAAAAAAATGACAGTTTGCTTAGAAAACCATAGTGGGATGAAAATGGGACGTTTTCAAAGTTTGTTTACTTCAGAATGTACTCATATTCATGTTCTTTCTACTGCATTCAACATTAGTTTCTGTTGGCCCGAGGATGGGTTCTTCATTTCATGGGCCTAGTGAGGTTTAAAGCTAAGAATCACCATATTGTGTACCTGAAATCAAGTAACTCATGCTATGTTGTAAATATTTTCTTGTGCATTTTTGTTAGACTCACACTTCTGGGTATTGTGTTTTTTTCATGCTTGTTTTGAAGCACTTCACAAAGGTATTAATGATGTGTTTCATGTCATTAAGTTCCTAACTTACTATGCCTGGTTTAGTGATGCTTTGAACTTCACCTTGGTAAAGGAAAAGATTTTGTCCAGATCTTGTGTTGTGAAATTAGTTTACTTGAAAGAAATAATTTTTATTGGGAAGCGTTAGGGGAAGATCAGAAACAAAATCAGGATAAGATCTTTAGCTTTTAGGTCACCACACTTCCAGAAATACTCATGTTGCATACTAAGACAGACTCTAATGGATCATCTCTTCCCAAATTAGGGAGTTCTTTTCAAGTGAGGCAATGCATCTGCTATTATTAAACTATGTGTTGTGTTATTTGCAGTCAAATGCAAGTGGGTAGCACTAAAAAAAAAAAAAGTTGGTAACTTGTTTTGTTCTACCAAAGGCTGTTGCCCTGAGCAGACAGTGCTCCATAGATACCCATAACTACAGCCCTCTTTTTTTCGGTCTGGGCCACAGCTGCCCTACCAGGCATCAGGGTAAGGAAAGAAGGGTGGTTTGCTGCTGCTAGTGGAGTTTGCTGCTGCTGCGGATTTGACAAGAGTCATGTGAGACAGCAGATGTGACAGTCATGCTGTCAAATACCTCAATTTTCGACAACCCAAATATATTTATCAACCCGCTGCCATACTAATAGAAACAAAGCTCAGCTTGGGCTGTGGACAATAAAGACTTCAGAAGTGCAGTACTGTCCAGAGAAGGTTTCTGTCTAGGATTGGCTAGGAGGTCACTGGCTAGGTTATCCCTAGCACTCATTCACACCTAAGTGGTGAGCACATGAAAGTGCTTTTAATCAATGCCCTATCAGGAAGTTTTAGTTGTTTTTCTCCTGACTCAGATGGATTTTGAGAAGTAACTTGGTTTAGAATATACCTGGAAAGATTAATCCCCATTAAGTTACTTGTTAATTTTACAACTTGAATATCTGCAGAGGACAAAAGGCTCGCAGCTTATAAATTGCCCTATGCATTTCCCATAGCTCTAAAAGCTTTTATGCATTTTTGTAAGCTAATTTGAACTTCATGACTGTTGTGTTGTTGCTGTGCAAAATGTTGTGTAGACACCTCTGCTAACCCGTTGTTGTTAACTGCAGTGGAAAACATTATGGCCATTTACATTCTAAAGCCAGGCTTCATCTTAACTTTTCTGCTTTCTTTCAAGTTGTTGAAATGTACTAAAAAAATGCCCTTCAGGGAAAGTTGCATAACTTCCTGAACTGAATGGTAACCTTAGACGTGTGCAGTAGCAGAGTACAATGGCCACTGATGTGTCTTATCCCTTTGGTACTGTGAAAACTGCTCATTGCAGGTGACTGACTTCGTGGCTGATTATTTGTGTAGTTGTCAGTATGATGGCATGCTTAGAAACCAGTTTACATAATTTTACATGAATAATGACAGAGAAATTAAAGAGTGGATGATGTTTTGCATGGAAGGGGGGGGAATCTTGTCTTTTATACATTGCAGGTTGGATAAGGAAGAAAGCTCCTGTCATTTATAACTTCTTCTAGAAAGAAGAAATGTCATATTTTCATGTTCTGAATTTATTTCTGTGCTGAAAGTTTTGGCTAATATGCTTCAGTAATGAAACTTTTAACTTTTATGTTTCAGCAAAATCCCAGCCTTTCTGAACGTGGTGGATATTGCTGGCCTTGTGAAAGGAGCCCACACTGGCCAAGGCTTAGGAAATTCCTTCTTGTCTCATATTAACGCCTGTGATGGGATCTTTCATCTGATGCGTATGTAAACTCATTTATATGCTCTCCCTATAGTTTAAGGACAGCACTGTTATACTCTCATTAAAAACTGTCAGCAAATATCCATTAAAAGTTTAACTTTTACCATTCAATTCAGAGCCATCAGGTTTTGGGTTTTTCTAGCTGAGAAAACTCCCATCCTCTGCGATCTAAGGGGTACGTCTTTCTTCATTGCCGTTGTGCTGAAGACATAAAAAGGAACGGGGTTTTTGGAAGTCTGCAGTAATGGTTTGTTGTTTTCTTTTGCCAGCAGTATGTGGCAGTTGATTTGTTTAGTTTCATAAAGGAGAAGGAATGGAATGTGATAATAAAGGCTGAAATGGAAGTAGAAAATGCAAATGTGGAGTTAGTAGCAGTCTCTGGGATTCTGTTCCTCTCAGGGCAAGCCTCAATTCTTTCATTTTCCTGATTTCTGTGTGACTTGTATTGAGTCCCCCACCCCTGTGACTTCTGAACATCATGTCTCAGTTAAACCAAGGGTTTTGGTTTTCTCTTTCATCACTGATTACCACAATGCAGAACTGGCCTTCAGAGAGTCACATTAACAGCATTTGCAAACCTGGCACTTAACGCTTATTGAAAGAGTGGGTTGGTTTGCAGTACACTTCCAGTGTTGAAAGTGACTTCTGGAATGAAAAGATTGAGCTTAACGTTTGTGCAGATTTGAGGAAACTGGACACCTTTGTTGCTGTGTTTTGGTTGGCCGTTATTATATAGTGAGTGATGTAACAATAAAACAAAATAAACAACAAAAGAAATACTTTGGTGTTTGGAGCAAAAGTGTTTTTGTGGGCAGGGCATTTCTAAAACAAAACCCAAAGGCATGGAATAGTATTATCTTACGGTACTGATTGACTTGCTTAGAACCCGTGTTCCCATGAGCCTGTTTTTGAAGCACATGTGTACAGGCCAGTGAGCTGATGTGTCTCTACAGTCTGCGTGCTTGGTGAATAGGTAAGTGTGCTACCCCAGTCGAATGCAGTTTGTTATGCATCAGAAATACCTAGGCATTGATTTGGTGCAGGGTGCTGGTACTGTGTTGTCAATCACGTGAGACGAACTTTGTGGGGAAAGGTATTATGTTCTTAGGCTTACGCTGTTGAAAAACAGGACATGCTTTTTGGGAGCATTGGCATTTTTTAAGGTTGTCTAGCACGTGGAGACCAGCTATAACTGTTTGTGCATGTGTAGAGTATTAATTCTCCTTTGAAAACTTGGCTTTACTTGTGTTTTATATCTAGTACTACTCTTTTCTGTTAGTCATTTGATGTGTTCTTTCATTAGAATAGAAAACTGGGGGCTGTTGATTGTAGCTAAACAGTTAATATTTAAAACTAAGGCATTTTGAAAAGGTGAGGCCAGATCCTTACTGGGTAGAGTGAAGTAAGTCTTTTGAACTTACTAATAAATAATAGTAATAATAATAAAAGTTAATGCAAACTTTTGTGGTTGAGAGATGTAAAATTACTTCCCCCCCCCCTCCCCCCTTTTTTTTTCCCCCCCTTGCAGAGTGCATATTAATTCTACTTTCCTTTCCCTGCGGTGCTATAAAAATGAAGATTTGGCACTAAAAGCTGGTAATAGCCTTCTAGTAAGTTAAAAAACCCCAAACTATTGGTTACACAGCACAATCTCTAGTTAAAACCTATAACTCACTGAAGTTTTCAACATACCATGCCAACTTAAATTACAAAACTGTATAAACCCTTTTTTATATGCAGTAATGTTTTTACACCCACCCAACTGTCAAAATTATTTCCAATCTAAAAATCCCTTTTTATGAGTCTCTGATATACCTGGGATTTGAATGGGTTTTGCCAGATTATTGAAACTGCCTAAACTGTTTTTCTAAATCCTTATACTCTCCAGATCGGGAGAGCATGAAGCTTCTTTGTTGCCCTTTACCAGGGTTTGGTCCGTTTTTAATGGACTCTGTGTCTTTAGGAACCAGTGCCCCGGGACTGGCCATCAGTTTCCAGCCTGGTGCCTAGTTACTGGGTCTCTGCAGTCAAGTAGGAGCTGACTTAAAAGGAGCCCAGACAGGTTGCTCCTGTTAAAGGGAATAGGCAGTGGACTGAAGGGTGAGGCTTTGTGTGCTGGAAAGGAGGTGTTGCTGAAGGTGAGGCGAGTGATAAAATCTTCTTAAGAAGAGACGCCCTAGGAAGCGATCTGGGCACCATGCTTTTTCAAAGCGTGAAGAATGTAGCGTTTGTTTTCACTAGGGTTTTGAGTTGATCTGGAACAAATTTTCACCTTTGAGCACTGAAGCCGTTGCTCCCTGGCTTTACGCTGTTGTTGCATGCGCTGCTGCTGCCCGTTAATGGCTAGCACGTGAAGCACAGCCCGTCAGAGAACTGGCCACTTCTTAAGTCTGGATGCCAGGCAGATAGTCAGAAGCAGGTCATTGTGGGGTTTGTGCTGTAGGCTTCCAGGTCTGTGTGCCTGAGGGTATTGACAAAAGCCTTGTTAAGTGTTGACTTGGCTTGGTTCAGTTGGTATTTCTACAAGAAGCAGTTTGAGAATTAACTCACTCAAGTTGTATTAATTAGCGTAATGATAGGCAAGGAAGCGGCTAGCTAGGAGTGGAGAGCTTTTGTTGAGTACGAGCCAAACTTTGGGAATCTCACTGAAGGTATTTTGTAGTCCTAGGCTAAAGGTTTTGATCCTGTTTTCCTTATTCATTTAGAATGTGTTGAACTGTGTTTTGTCTTGGACAAAAGGTTGGCATGTGGGTTTTTTAGGTGCCATAACAGATTTCACTGTTGTTACTGTTGTGTTAGGAGATGGTTTTGCAATAGGTTGTTGCCTGTCAGTTTATCCACCACAGGGCACACAAGTGAGCTGTGGCTGTAGTACTCTCCAAGTAATTATAATTACATTTCTGTGGAAACTGTGGAAGTTCTGTGTGGCTCTGTGGCTTCCTAGACTTTCTTGCATGACACAAAGCTGAGGAGAAATGGGATTTATTCTTGTCTGGCTCGTTCCCTACTTTCCTTACTTCATTTAAAATGGAAAAGTACGTCTGTCTTGAAATGGTTATGGATTTTCACCCTTCAGATTTCCATATCCTAGATACACTTATCTTCCCTGGCAGACAGAGTGTTCTTTAAGTCAATGAAAACATTGGGTTTATGTTTAAGGTATATCTTAATATATCAAAAGAAACAGCAGCCTGTGTGAGAGGAGCACGTGGCAGGGTAATAGGCCAAGTGAAAGGAGAGGCAAGTTTGTGTTGAGCATCGCTGTATTTTTTGTACCTGATTGCTAACAGTATGAAGTAGATTCTCTTAGCTCAGCAAACAAGGTAAGTCTTCCTGTACAGAACAGAGCATATTCTTGGTTTTTGATACTTCTTGTAGATGTGTTTTTCTATTAAAGTGCACAAGCTGAAAGTGGGTTACTGATATTTAAAATAAACCATATTTCAGAGGTTATCTCAGTCTCTTGGGGATAGGGGTGTATTTTATATTTGGCTGAATGCAATTAGGAAAACCTCAAACAGATATACTTGCTTACTTAAGGTCTGAGTGAGTGGGGAATTTAATTTCAACTGTCCTGGATAGTGGCATCTACAGCATTATAACCATGGCAACCTGACACATGCTTTAAAGAACAAAGCTGTAACTACATCTTCCGAGTTTCACTGTTTAATTTGAAACACTTCTAGGAGGTCTGTTTTCAATGTTTCAGGTGTGTTATGGTTTTAACTGAGGCAGCAGGGTTTTCGAGGTGGCAGAAGGGAGGCTGTTTAAAGCTTGTAATACCGTTTCTTCCCAAGTTGCATGGCTTTAACCACCTTTCAACTTTTATGGTAGATCAGTCACAAGTACTTGTAGAAAATTGCTTTCTTTGTAAGGGAGACTAAAAATGGCAACCTTGTTACAAGTGTAAATTTACAAATTACTCTTAAATAATGCTTCAGGGAAGAAAATGGTAGATGTCAGTATTTAGTTCCTGCTATAGCTCTGAGTTTTTGAATGTTAAACAGCCAGAGTTCCTCATGTTTTCGAGTTTCTCTTCCCACTGATATCCTGCAGTCATAGTTTTCTGGAAAATATGTTCCACGTTTTTTCTCTTATTTTTAGTTTTTTTAATGGAATCCAATCTTTCTCTTCAAAGTTACAGAAATTAGAAGGAAGTTTGTCTGTAAAAGTAGTTTGCTATCAAATGCTCTTCTTTTTAAATAAATAACAAAACTTAGGGTTTGATGCCCCAAGTAGGGCAGGCAGGAGTTGGGGAAGAACTCGAGAACTCGCCTGCGTGCCATCGCCTGGCCTTCCAGTCCTGCAGAGGAATGTGCGAGCCGCCCACAGTGACGTGATGCTGGGGGAGTGCAGGCAGGTAGAGGTGGGGGACTCTTGCTTTGCTCCTCTGCCTGGAAGTGCTTTGGCTCCACAGCGGAGGGGCTGTAGCTGCCTTTTTAGGGGCATGATGCAAATTTTGGTAAGTGATAATCTGTGAAATGATGTTCTTTGTGATGAGACTGAAAGAACCATGAAGCTAGGTAAACATCCCCTGTGGTCTTACAGCAATGACTGGTGTGACCCATGTGAATTGGTTGCTAAAAAGCTTTAATTGCTTTCACTCCAGTTTTATGTCTAATTGGAAATATTTACCACACCCCCTGATTCTCCCTTCTGCAGGGGTTTTTGGTAACTTCTAAAGCAACTTGCCATCATTTAGAACTGGGATAGATATGAATCATTTGAGCTGTGTATAGTTCATTCTTGTCTGAGATAAACATCCATCTGAGTTTGGCAATACTCATATTGATTTTTGCTCAGCATTTAAAATGAAGTTGACTTGGCTTTGTTTTTTATCATCATGAGGGCTATTGGAAACTCGCAATAATACTGCCAGTGTTTTGATTAGTCTGTAAAAATCAAAGTGGTGATAACAAAGTTGTTTAGCTGAGTAAGATGCATCCTCTGTTCTGACTTCATTTATGACTTTCTATAAAAATGTGTGTATTATCTGTATGA